CCTGAATCTGCTGCAACCAAAATCTTTTTGGTTGCAGCAAATCTTTGTTTTTTGGCGGGAGGTAAACAGCAATGGGTGAATAGATGAATAAACTTTTGGCTCTCAAAATGGTATCGGCGCCCTATTTGTCGTTACTCGCCAATGCCAATACCAATACCAATGCCACCATTTTATTGCTAAATCGGCGCCACACCGGATACTGGTATCGGTGCAACACTAATAGGACACTGGCTTATGCATCATTTCGTGGGCATTACGCTGCCATGTGTTATGCATAAGCTAGGCTATCGTTGGACATAAGTTGTGGACTCGTTATGAATACTCCATGTATATGCCCTAAGTTGAAAAAAAACAAAGAATGTCCAACGTATGCCAGCGTTTAAGGATATTCTCGGACGTTGGGGATACGCTGGCTAAATCAGCAAGGTGGGACAGGACCCTACAGTAAAGCATTACATCATCAATTTGCAACAGTACCTACATGGCGGAAAAAATGAGAGATGTGTAAGACAATACAAAAAAACCCAATATAGGAAATAGGAAAGTAAAGTTTTATTAAGTGTAACAAAAAGCTGAATATGAACTAATTTGCACTTTAATGAAACAAACATAAAAAACAAGGAATACACTTTAAACTGCTTTTTTCATTATCTGGTTGGAGAATCAGACATCATTAAATCAGTCCAAAAAAAACATGTGAGGGTCGAGAAAAATGGAAATATTTATACAAAATACATGTAAGACCATTTTTAGAAGGTTATACATTCAACCGAAAGCTGACTGGAAATGCAAGGTAGACCTAATCCAATTAGACATCACCATTATCTGCCTACGTCACAAAAATATCTCAAATAACTGTTCGTCTAAAAGATTGTAGAACTATATAAAGTAAATTAATTAGTTAATTTAGAGCAGTTTAGAAAAACTTTAAGTTTTTTTAAGTAGAGGTGTTATGATGAGAGCATGGATTTAACATTTCATTTATAAACATATACAGTATCTTTAATTAAAAAGTAATTTCCTTGTCAAATTTAGTTTTTATATTGCTTAAACATTATTTAAACTTGTTTTTAGTAAATGGTATTAATGGTAAATGCCCTGTAAAAAGTGTTTTTTTCCAAGTCAGGAAACTTGACCAAAGTGCATTGCACCACATTCAGTTATTCACCCAAAGACTCACAAACTGATGGTGGCAAGCTGCAGTGTAGCAACAGCTGCTCTGGGGCTCACTGACAGAAGAAAGGATGCCGTACACTGGTGGCAACGGGTCCTCTGAGCACCATCAGTAGGGTGAAGATTAATTTAAAGATTAATTGGATTTGGTAGGAAAAGATTTGAACAATCAATGGAGGTCAGTGATTATTAGGGCTGGAACGGTTCACAAAATCCACGGTTCGGTTCACGGTTTCGTGGTCACGGTTTTCGGTTCGGTTCGATATATGTTTGTTGTTACACCGAATAAAAAATAAAAATTAATGAAAAAATAAATAAATAATGAAATTAATGAAAAAATCCAAAAAAATTAATGAATTGTAATTACTTTTAATGATCCGCAAAAACCCTGGATCATTTCCGCATGTTTTGCTGCTTTGAATTTAATCATCTGGCGCATGCTCTCTACGATCTCCAAGGAACTCAGAGCGGAGCGGACGGGAGCCACAGTGGAGGCTGTAGGCTTTGCTTTGAGCAGCCGGTCTGGAGCGCAGCGGGGCGGAGCGCTGATGGAGTATGAGGGATTTCAGGGTTAGCCTGACATGTTGGTCGTGTTGCTGTTAGCATAAACAAAACGTGTTGCACAATGCTTGCACACTGTTGCACTTTTATCCACAGCTTTCTTTCCGCCGTCATCGTAGGTCACTCTAAATGCAAAGTGGTCCCATACAGCAGACCTATAAAGTGCTGCTGGCGCGTCTTCCAACTCCTGTTCTTTCCCACTCGCCATACCCACACAATTCTCCACAACAACTGATTTTTTTCTGCTACACCCGGCTACGCTGCTTCGCTTCTTCTTCTTCTTGTTTACTACTGGTGGTTGGCTTTGGTCGCAGTACCGCCATCTTCTGCTCTGGAGTGTAAACGCTTCGCCAATGAGAAAAAGGAGCAGCGCATGAACCGAACGCAACACACGCGAACCGAACCGAGACAGTCGAACCGAAAGGTTCGGACGGTTTTCATAAACCGTTCCATCCCTACTGATAATGGATGGATGGATGGATGGATGGATGGACGGTATTGCATAGTTTATCAAAAACAAATGATAAAACCCTGAAAATGAATGATCAGGTATTTTTCATGTAAACAATAAAACAATGAAAATTTATTACAATCATGTATTTTTTTCTCTCCTAGCTTTTTCCAGATCTATATATACTAAGAAATACTTAAACAGAACATTTTACTAAGTTCAAAGACTGTTGAGTGACCCTGGAGAAACCCTAGCCTATGTTTACCCCATTTGCAGCAAATTTAGTTCTCAGATTAAAATGACTTTTCACCAAAATAAAAAAACAAAAAACAGGCAGACATGACAATAAATAATGGAAGAACATTTCATAGTTTAAGAAATATGCATATTTAATGCCTTAATAAGAAGAATAACGCATCTACGATACAATAGAACCATTTGATGGTTTACAAGACCTGACACTATAAGCCCTTTTAGTGACTAATTAATATTTAATGTACAGCGACCATATTACTACATTCACTGAAGGAAGTTTAACCACTGCAGCAAAGAAATTTATACTATTATCTTCGTCCCTGTGTTCCACATAAGGTGGATAAAAATGTGTCCCTGTTCCTGCCATACTAAGTATGACAATTATATAAAGTTTCTTAAAAGCAGTGTAATAGGATTTAGAATGTCTAATTCTGCCAAAAGTGTACATGCATACTAAAGGCCCATAGATGCAGTTTTATTTAAAACACAAACGTGCAAATTGGAACGGACGAACGGGTCCACCCCTTTGGAATGGAGGTCGTTTGGCTTCTTTTGTTAACCTGCAATGCCACATTGCGTAATTCCAATCGGCAAGTTTTGAAAACAAAAACAAGGCTTTGTTGAGCTACTGTATAAAACCTCAAACTCAACGCTATTTCTGACATTTTGAATTGAAAAAAGCTTCCTGGATGGGAAGCGGAACGTCTTCAAACTTGGAAACAACTTTCAGTGGATTCTTTTTTTTAACTTTCTTTGGAATCACAAACATACTACTACAGTAGAAGCTATTCAAAATTTCCCCACTTTCCTTGATGGGTCCTTGGCTGGTTCCCTACAATTCCTTTTTAAACATCAATCTTTGCACTAAAATATTCTTTCTGTCATGATTTGTGGACATTAAGATCTAAAGAGAAGCATAATCTCCTGGTCAGACCCTGTAATTCAGTGAAAGGGTGGAGTCAGATTAAAAAAATGTGCATGCCCAGGAGGGGGCCAGGGGCTGGAAGTTGGAGGGGATTTTGCTGGGAGTTGCAGGGAAGCGGGTTTCAATTGGCTGGCGTTTGACTGGGAAGGGCCATTTTAAATGGCTGCTACTGTATACATGATTATTTGAACATTTCTGTGTGCAGATTCACTATCACAAGCCTCCAGTATGTCAGAAGCATGAGTTCATGCTCGCCATCTACTTCTAGTCATGTGTCGACCTGTTTCCGTCGCTCATGTCAACTTTTGTAACTTTTAGGGATGAACCAACTTGAGAAAGTAAACCACCTGTGATTAGCTATTTCTCAGGAAATCCTGCCTCTCTTCTTTGTGGCTAGTTATATAGTTAGAAAAGCATCCTATGACTAATAGCTGTTCTTTAACAAGCAGAATACTGTCTTCATTTCCAACAGTTCTTGTCACTACCCGATCCGTCCCGGAAGTACGATCCGTCCTGCACATGCTCAACCAGAATAACTTACCGGTATGCAATACTTAATTTTTCTTACTTTTTAATTATTTTGTCTTTTTCTGGCGGGGGGTTCCTGTTGAATAATATTGTATTTGTGTAAATATTTCATATTCTAAAAACGAAAAAAAGCAATACACTTAAATAGCCTTTCGAACATTACTGTGACTGCTCCGAGTATGTCCGATGATGACGTCAATGGAGAGAATATAACACGTATCCATTGCTTCCAGAAAGGTCTTCAATATTTTCTATACAATGTAGTTTTAGCATTCTTTAATGTTTTAAGTATATAAATAAGTATTTTCAGTACCGTTATTATGTAGTTTTTCGGCGATCCGGATCGTATTATTCTGTTTGCGCATGCGCACAACAGATCGGGTAGTGACAGCCATTAGTGTAGTCAACTAACAACTTTATAAACACAATATGCTGGACATAACAGAAAAAAAACATTTAACAGTAGCTCCTAACTGATTAGAGATGTAAATGTTTGTGCTTAGACAGTATAAACAGTGAAGCTAACGTTAGCTTAGCTCATACGGAGTTCAAACACCAGACGTCATTTTTAGGCTAAATCTGGTCGTTTCATCAAAGCCCAGATTTAGTCCAGAATTAGTTGTTGAAAATTGGATGTTTGGTGTGCCTGATTTTGTCCCATTTTAGTCAAACATTGCTGTCATAACACATTCATGGCTGTTTAGAATTAGGTTATTTAATAATAACTTCCTATTAACTCTTGAAGGAAACAGCAATAAGCCTGAAGATGCTTAGCTGACGTTACTATCAACAACTAGGAAAAAAACATTACACCACTCTCTCAAGGGGTGGGATCTTCTGAAAAGTAGCCACTCACAGGCAGTTAACTTTTTCAGGTTGGTTGCAACCTTAAAGTGAGATAACTTGACATGAGCACACAGAAACAGGTCTAGTAAGAAAAAATCTACGGGCGCATAAAAAGCAAAGCAGGAGCGCAGTGAAGGACCATGAGCACTTGCTTGTGACATATCATGGTATTGAATCTGCAGACAAAATTATCAAAAATGCATGTGGAGAGTAGTTTACTTGCATGTTTTTTTTAAATAAAACTGCTCATATTAATATTTGTCATATTTTGGCAAAATTTTGACATCATAAAATATGGAAAAAAAAAATGAAGTCTCTGAATTCCCAGGACAATCAGCAGTCACTGGGGCTACAATAAGGCACATTACTCTGCCTTCATTTGGTCCCTTACATCTGATGGCAGAGTTTCAAACAGTGTCTCTTCCACTATAAGGCTGCTGCGCTTCAAAGCACAACAACACCCAAGCTCTTGTGGCAGGAACTCAAAATGGTTTCCTTTTAGCTCCAAGTGGGTTAGCAGACTGAGATACGAAATCTTTGGTGATAAGATGGATAACGAGTTCTTGCCGAGCTTTAATGTTTTGAGCTTTTTGCAAAAGAACAGTTCATCTGGAAGGTTTTCAAGTTTGTTACATGTGACAGAGAAGTACTGCAGACTCTGCAGTACTCCTATTTCGGGAGGGATGAATCGGATGTCATTGTTGGATAGATCAAGGTAGCGCAACTTGTTACACAAGAACAGATGCGAGGGCAGGATCTCGATCTTGTTGTGGCTGAAGTAAAGACGTTCCAGGCTGCTGAGCTTTTTGATATGCTCAGGGATGTACATGATGCTATTGTGCCAAAGCTTGAGACAAATGAGCTTTCGGAGATGCTGGAAGCTGACAATCTCCTCAATAGATCGAAGGTTGTTCTCTTTTAGGTCAATCTCCTGCAGACTTGTCAAGCTAAAAATTCCATGCGGGATGCGTTCAAGATCGCAACGCACAAGCTCCAACTCAACAAGGCTAGTCATTTTCTTCAGGTTGTTTAGCATTACTAGCCTTGTGCCATCATTGTGCAGGTAAAGACGCTGTAGATGGCTGGACACATCCACGATTGACTGGGGGATCTTTGTCAAATTGCTCTTAAGGTAGAGAGTTTTCAGACACTTCAGTTCACGAAGGGACTCAAGAACTATATTCTTTGAGGCATCAGGACTGAGTGATCCAGAGAGGTAGAGTTCCTCTAGGTTACGCAGAACATACACCCAATTTGGAAGTTCCCTGTTCTCGTCGAACTTTACTCGAAGCACTTTTAGGTTCTCTTTGAGGAAAGAAGTAGCACTTGGGTGCAGCTTTAAGGAACACTGGTAGAGAGAGAGCTCCTGGAGGTTTTCCAGCTGAGAGATAGATGCAGAGATTGTCACGTTATTGATGATCTCAAGCTTGAGCGACTGCAGCTCCGTCAATTCAAAGACAGTGTCGGGCAAGCCAGGAAGCATGAACAACTGAAGTTCGAGTCTGTTATTTGGGTTCATCTGGAGTCTCTGACGCAATTTCTCTGGTGTCCACTCGTGGTTCAGATTGAGTTGCTTCAGTTTGTTCTCACTGACCTCTGATAGAAAAACAGCAAAGCGCTTGGAATACAGCGGATCGTACTGATCAATCATGTGCAACATGAAGGCAAAGTCGTTTTTGACGTCTGGGATGTCACTGATGCCAGTTTCGTGACGCACATACTCGAAGGAATACTCTTTAAGTGAGCGATAAAACAGCCAGTAGGAGGTATAGAGGCTTGTGAAGCCATAGACAGCCACCAAAAACAGATAACAGTAAGACAGCTTGGAAAACAGATGAGCCATGTTGTGATTACATTCAAAGACTGTATATCCGGTAACATCCTGGATTTCCTTGACTTCACAACACACTTCGTTCTGTACTTTCTCTACGAGGAAGCTGTTATAGGCAATGATCACAAGGAATTTCAGCACCTTGAATACAGTCTGACGAACATACATAAGATAGAGGATATCTCCTTCCTCTACATGTAGTCGGAATTTCTTTACCTTTTCAAAAAGAGCCTTAGCTTGCTCGCCCTCTTTTTTATCAAGGACACTTGCTGACGGCTTGTCCACCACAATCTTCTCGGGAATAGACCGAAGGGACTGCGTTTTCTCAAGGCTGCTTTCTTCAGGCGACAACGCATTGCTGGACCGAGATGTTGTACTCTTTTTCTGGTCCTTTTCTTCCGGATTCTCTCCAGACACCTCAGACAATGCACGCGTTGTCCAGGGGGAATCAAAACACTTGCCGAGCATTGAGATGAAGTGCTCTATTTTTGAACTTGAGCCGGGAAATTTAAACCAGAAGTTGCTACACACCATGAAGACCAGTGTGTGCATTAGAACCAAATAGGGGAAGTACTTGGCATACCAGTGTAGAGCTTTCTCATAGCACATCTGATTAATAAAACTGTACTGCTGAAGATCCAGATCAGTTTTTACCCCTCTCATTTCTCTCAGCATATCTGAAGCATTGAACTGCCGTTGAAGGACTAAGCTCCTATTTACTTCACAAATGTTTTCTGAGCCGGATGAGATTCTGTGAGGAAGGCATATGATCTTGTCTTGCATTACCTGCAACAAAATGTAAGGAAAAAGGTAATATGTCAGCATATAAACCAATTGTATCTACAGAAACAACATAAAAGACTAACTAGCAAGGTAATAATTCTGCAACTTAACGTGGTGAGTTTGGATGAGCTGCACAGTGGCACAGTTTATAGCATTGCAAAAGAAGGTCCTGGGTCAGATTCCTTGCCTGGAGTATTTGTGCATTGACTTTGCAATTTCTCCCTGTGCGAGCATGCATTCTGAACATTCTCTCCATGCAGATTGACGATGCCATGTGGCTCCTAATATATCCCAACCATTAGTCCATGCTCCTTGCTTTTCATGCTCCTGTAGACAGTGTTGTGCAATGAACAGCATTCACTGAATGCATTCATATTTTTAGTGAACTGTGAACTAAACGGATCAGTTTTGAAGTAATGAACGAGAACGAGAGCGACCTTCACTCTAACAATAATGAGTCACACACACAACTCATGTTTAGTTGATAACAATTTTCATTGGTCAGGTTTTACAGAACCCTTTACGACAAACCAAACCAAACCACGCTGACAGACGAGCATGTCTACTGCTAGCACTACTCTCCTCCATTCAGACTCATCTGCTGGTATTTCTGATGCCAGTTTAGCAAAGAGCTTGGCAGAGTTTTACGAATTCACAGAAGAAGACTCGGACAGAAGAAGAAACACCAGGACTTAACAAACAAGTCCGTACGTCAGCCACATCCACCTCAAATTTAAAGCCACACATGAAGTTAAAGCATCCGAGCTATCTTGCGAAATATCTGCTAATGAATGAGGAACGGAATAAATCGTTTTGATCCAGATCTTTTCAGCAGAAAGTTTCTGAAGTTTTGTGTAATTTGGCTGCATAAAGGCTTCACTTCACGTCCAGTATACCTTGACTGCATCCAGTATTTTCCATTCCTTTCTATATATTATGATCACACATTTAGAGACGGAAATATGAGGTTCTAGTGTGCAGGATTGTGGCTTAATTTACCACATGAATGACCTGGCACAACAGTGCCTGTGGATTTTCTCCTATCAAATGTAGATCTGTTTTTTGCGCTCATATAAACTTTTGTCACTTTGAGGGAGGAACCAACCTGAGAAAGTAAACCGCATTAATTTGCTACCTTTCAGGAAATCCCACCCAATTAGCTTCCCTGTTTGTATTGAGCAAAATTAGGCTTAAATTAACAACACAGATATTTACATTTCTACGTATTTTACAGCTACTGTTAAGCATTTTCCTTTTTATGTCCATGTTGGTGTTCATAAAATTGTCAGTTGATGACAGAGATGGCTGTTGGAATTAAGGATTCAACTCTTGAAGAGAAGAGCTATTAGCCAAAGGATGCTTTGCTAATGTTACTAGCCACAACCAGGAAGAACAAAGTGCTGTCCCAAGAGATGGGGATTTCTTGAAAAGAAGGCAATCACAGTGAGTTTGCTTCTTTGGTCTGTTCCACCCTCAAACTGACAAAAGTTAACATGAGTGCATAACAACAGGTCCACACTCCAGTAGGGGATAATCTAGAAAGCAAGAGGGTGCAGAGAAGGAGCATGAACTAATCATTGTGACATACTGGAAGACTCATGGTACCGAATCTGCCTGCATAAAATGATCGAAATGAGAAGAGAATCAATGAAAGTAGTTTACATGTGCACATTTTTAACAGAACTGCAGGTGAGAGTATGTATTGTGTATATTTATCAGGCCCCTCTCCCGTGGAACCAACTACCAGTTTTAGTCCGTGAGGCAGACACCCTGTCTACTTTTAAGGCTAGGCTTAAAACTTTCTTTTTTGACAAAGCTTACAGTTAGAGTGGCTCAGGTTATCCTGAGCTATCTCTATAGTTAGGCTGCTATAGGCTTAGACTGCTGGAGCACATAGGGACCCCTTTTTCATCATTCTGATTCATTCTATCTCTATTCTCCCACTTTTGTTAGTTCGATCTCTAATACTAGGGTCTCTTTGCTTTTTCTCATAGTAGCTTCATCTGGTCTGTTCCTGTTTGGCTGTGACTCCATCCTGGAGAGAAATATCAGCTGTGCTGCTGCCATCAACACCTTTGCTTCTAGATGTTCAAGATCGGCCTGTTTTCCAGTGTAGTCCTGTTTCTCTGACTGTGACTAACTGGATGTGCTCTCTTCATCCTCTGACATGGGAGCTGCCTTGGAGCTCGTCTGCCTGGCTGTGTGTTTCCTGGACGGGGCCGCCTTTTACAGTTGCCTTTTGTATCTATGCTTCTGTCTCCTTGAACCCCAGTGGGCCTCAGCAGATGGCCGCTCACACTGAGCCTGGTTCTGCTGGAGGTTTCTTCCTGTTAAAAGGGAGTTTTTTCTCTCCACTGTCGCTACAAGCATGCTTAGTGTGAGGGATTGCTTTTATTTGTTTTTAAAACTCTTAATGGCCTTGCTCCTTCTTATCTGTCTGAGCTGTTACATTCTTATACTCCCTCCCGTTCCCTCAGGTCAGCTGATCAGTTGCTTCTGAGGGTCCCAAAGACAAAATGCAAGCTCAGAGGGGACCGTGCTTTTTCTGTGGCAGCTCCTAGGCTGTGGAATGATCTGCCTCTGAGCATAAGACAGGCCTCTTCTCTTGCTGTTTTTAAGTCCCTTCTTAAGACTCATCTTTTTTCCTTGGCTTTTGGCACAATTTGAGAGGTTTTACTTTGTTTTATTCTTTTTGTATACTAATATGTATTTTAAACTCGTTTTTTCAATATTTTATAATTTTATTGTATTTTATGATTGTGTACAGCATCGGTCCTGTTCGGTGTATAAAGTGCTTCATAAATAAAGTTGGTATGGTATGGTATGGTATGGTATTGCTTACGTCAATGAGTCAATGCAATCAGCTGGTTTTCCTCAGATAGAAAACTTTGAATTAATTTGACTGGATGATCTGGTTGAACTGGAAAGTGCCTTGAGATGACATGTTGTGAATTGGCGCTATAGAAATAAACTGAACTGAATTGTGCCCTGTTGGCAGAATTCTGCAAAAACTGCAGGAAAAATTATCAAAATGTTTACATTATCTTTCAACCCTAAATCCTATGAGTCAAAAAAAACATTTAGTGATTTAATGCTGGAAGGAAATGATCAGGATACCCAATATCAAATACATATCATAAGGAATGACCACCTCCTATTTTCTATTTATTTTGTTGATATTATTTTTATTCACCTAATTTAGTATCTAACTCATGGCCCAATACAACAGAATAACTAAAAGTTGCAAAACATGGAAAAATTTAACTGGTACCAATAACTTTGCAAGGTGTAGACTATGCATCAGCATCAGATTGTCTGTTTATTAGTTTAACATGGTCTCCTTAGCACTGTACGACAGGCGGACATGTTTGACAAGAAATGCCCATGCTGTTTACTCGAAATACAAGTAATGAAAAACAGATGCTGGACAGAGATGCTAAGAAAAGGAAGCAGGCACTTTACAGCACCAGTAAAAGGGAATGGGTGCCTTTAGGGCACGCTGTTCCACTGTGAAATTTAATGTAATGGTTTAAAGACCAAAGCATAATATAGGAAGCTGCCCTGAAACGTCAGGTTAGATCAAATCTGGGATGATCCGTCAACATCCAAAGCCTTGTAAGATCAGCGTTTCTAGTTCAAAGTCTAAATGAATTAGCTAACTGTCAAGCAGAACATAACAAGTAATTACACAAAGCAGCATGTTGATACAGCTCTGCCCCAAAAAGTAAACATCGGTACAAGAATAAGTGTCCAATTAATTTGCAAAGCTTTCAGACTGAACCCTAAAAGCTGGAGCAGGAGAGGGAAAAACAATGGCCGCTTAAAACCAGATAAATAGGAAGTTTTTTTATGTATATTTTTGAAGTGATGTTCAGGGTTTCCACTATGGGGGCTAATAGCAGCCAAGCAATGTTCCAAACAGAGCGAGAAGTCAAGGGCCAGTCCACAGGGGTTTGGAATCCTCTGTTTACTGAAAGGGGCAGGGTGGGGAATGTTTCCACAGCTAAACTGCTGATGGACTGAATGCTTCCCTTTGCTGTACACGGGCCAGGCTGTAAGAGAACACAAGCAGTGTTTTTGAGCTGGTGCCAGTGGAGGGGGGCAGGGCCGCCATGTTCCAATAAGGAGCCTATAGGCGTTTACCTGCGTATTCATCCATTCAATCCAGCTGGAATGTAGAAAAAACAACAACACAAAAACAAGAAAAAAACTGCAACTCTTCACTCCTGAGATGTTTTTAGTTCTACGTTTAGATGAAAACAGAAATACATTTTCACTGACCTGCAGAGTGCATCCGAACACGCCAATCATTAGCATGACCACAGACAGGTAATCTGTGAACACGTCCCACCAGGGCTTCAGGACTCGGAACGCCGGCTGCTGTTCTGAGAACTGACGAAATTCCATAACAGGAATCATGATGCCGGCTGGAAGAAAAGAAGAGAAAAATTCAACCCTGGGCCTTTTTTTAAAGGGAACTTTATGACTAAAGAGGTAAAATAGTAGAATGTAATAACCACACAGGCTACTTAACAACTGATATTTTCACCTTCAATCTTATATATAATATAATAACTTAAAATAGCTTCAGATGAGGTTTGTTTGTCTAATAAAAGCAGCTTTTAAAATGAACCTTTATGCAGGTATTCAATATAACTTTAATTAGGTAGGGAGAAAACCAAAGATGTACTCTTTTAGTTAGGACACTATTTCGTATTTTAGCTAAAGTAAAAGTAAATTAGCTGCAATTGAAAAACTTACTTAAATAAGAGTAAAAAAAGGATTTGCATCCTATAGCATCAGATTTACTATATCAAATTATGTGATGTTAAGAAATGTTAAGATATTTTTTTTATCTTGATTGAAAAAAAAACTATTCTAAATCAATTTCCTTTTCAAAATAAAAGTTATGTAACCAATGCTTACAGTAGGTAATGTATAAAAGGTAGAACAGTGTAAAGTTGGCATACCTAACCCTAACATGTACAGGGGTTCCCAAATGGGGGGTCGGGACCCCCCAGGATGGTTTTTACAATCATTATGTAAATTCTGGCGTTTATGGAGGACGAAAATATGTAATGAAAAACATAAATGTACCATCATTTTTTATTTCTTACTTTTATTTTGTGTTTCATTGTGTGCGATACATGTACACTTGCACCTTAATCCTTATTTATCTTGATATACTGTATATATATTGTTTATTGTTTTATTCTTAATGCACCTTTTTCCTCCTTGTTTGCACCTTCTTTGACTTCTATGCCAATATGTGACCAGTGAATTTCTCCGCTGTGAGATCAATAAAGCTCATCTAATCTAATCTAATCTAATCTAATCTAATCAAACAATTAGATGTAACATTTATTTATTCAAATACTAAATATG